CCACAGAGAAAATTTACTTAATCAAGCAAATAATGAAAAAAGCAAAAAAAAAGTAGAAAACATCACAGAAAACTAAGTGGCAAATAACATTGCATCAGTGATCACAACAGGTGAGATTCACCTATTGATTTCCCAGATTTCACTTAGAAAAAAAGAAGTTTAGCAGTTTAGCAATGTGCTTACAAGCCACCTACCCAAAGCAACAGAGAAAAAGGATATGACATTCTAAACAGAAAGCACCAAACTGAGGACCGAAGGTATTTTAAACAGATGAGAAAATTCCATTCATGAGTCTTTTCAAACTAAGCAACATGACTGAAGCTTATAAAAGCAGTTGTTAAGATGAATGGTAAAACATGATGAAAAACCAGAATGATTTAATGCACTTTTCTTGGAAATGGACAAATAGTGCAAAAAGAAAAAAAAGAGAGAAGATGGCAAGAAAGAAAAACAATAGATCTGAATAATTCACAAGTTCAACTTAACAGATTATATAAAAGCTTATAGCAAAACCAACAGTATGTATTATTTTCAAATAGCGATAGAACATTCTGTATGGGCCCTTCCCCCAGAAAAAGCATTCTAAAGTTTGTCTGGAAAAATAAAAATGCAGAAGAACCTAGAACTTTTTGAATAAGGAAGAACATACACAAGTATCGGTATGAAGTGATCTGTATGCTAGTATTGGTACGCTAGTATTGGTATGAAGTGATCAGTGGAATATTTCAGGCTTGTGCCGCTGACGTAAGAGTCACAAGCCACATGTGGCTAGTCTAAATAGAAAGGTGATGAAAGTATAAAAATACATACTGGATTTCAAAGACTTTTCATATGAAAAATACTGTCAAATATCTCACTCTTATTTTTTATGTCCATTATATGTTAAAATGATACTGGCTTAAACTGTTATGAAAATTAATTTCACCTGCTTCTTTGTACCTTTTCATTGGGATGCCTAAAAAATTTTAAATTACGTATGTGATTCACATTATATTTCGCCTAGACAGTGCTGGTCTAGAAGCAGATCTGGATATTCTACTTTCCACCATATCCTTTATGACATTTTCAAATGAAAATTCAGTTGTTTTTTTTTTTTTACATCATCATAGATTAAAAATGCCCGTCCTTTGGCCTAAGTGTCTCTTGTTTTTACGTTAGATTTAAATGTTCCATAAAAGCAAGAATCATTGATCTCTCCTGTCATCATATTGTTTCTACCCTACGTTCCAAAAGTGTCATGGCCTGATCGTTGGAACCCTGATCACGAACCACTGTGGCACCAGGCATGTGCACCAGAGCAAGATGAATGCCCATGTGGCTTTAGAGGAGTGGTGGGTAAGGGCACCCAGCAGCGGGCAGCAGGCTGCGTTGAGTCTCACGCAAACCACTTTCTCAGGCCACCATCTTCTGTCTTGAGGTCTGCTCATCTCTGAAGGAGCCCCTGCCTCACCAGGTTGTGCGGAGGACTAAGGATTACCTGCAAAAGTCACACCACCTGGCCAGGTTCGGTGGTTCAGCCTGAAATCCCGTGCTTTGGGAGGCTGAGGTGAATGGATTGCCCAAGCCCGCGGGTTTGAGACCCACCTGGGCAACTTGGTGAGACCTTATCTCTACAATAAATCAAAAATCAGCCGGGCATGGTAGCGGGCGCCTGTAGTTCCAGCTACTTGTAAGGCTGAGGCGGCAGGATCGCCGGCGCCCAGCAGGTCGAGGCTGCAGTGGCCAGGAGCGACCACTGCACTCCAGTCTGGGAGACAGAGACTCCAACTCAAAAAAAAAAAACACGTCACACCACCTGACACACAGTAAACACCCCATAACTCTAGTTACTAGTTTTGTTTCCTCTTCTTAAGTCTGTGATGGTTAGGACTGATGGGGTTTTCATCTGACAGATGCTGACACCCACAAGTGGTATAACTGAGGTTGTACATAGTGCAGCAGTAACCCCCAAACCTAGCCACTATGGTGACACCGACACCTGTGATGAGAATGGGACGAAAGCTCTGGCCTCATGTCCAGCATCTACCCCTCTCCCGTGCACCAGGCAGCTCCCCAGATCTCTCTCCTGCATCCTGGGTAACTCCCCCAAATCTCTCCCATGCACCAGGCAGCTCCCCAAATCCCTCCCACACTCCGGGCAGCACCCCAAATCTCTATCCCACACCCGACTGACCCCCAAATTTCTCTCACTTGCTCCAGGCTGACCCCCACATCTCTCATGCACCCCATACAGCTCCTGACTCTCTCTCACACCCCAGGCAGCTGCTCAAATCTCTCCCCCTCACCCTGGGCAGATCCCAAATCTCTCTCCAGCACTGGCTTCCCCATGAGTTTCCCCTCACACCAAGACATCCCCTGGACTGCCCACAAGTCATCCAAAGAAGGTTGACTTGGGAATGGTAGAGCAAGGATCTCCATAAATCTACCCCCCCTTAAAAGCAACAAAACTTCGGCAAAATAGCCCAAATTCTGCTATTTTGTAACTCTGGAAGTTAAGCAAAGGCCCACAACAATCCAAGACACCTTTATTTGAGGTATCCTTCAACAGCCTCCATCCTGCTTTTCTTCTCGGATTCCAAACCATGTTTAACAGAACCATCCTTGAAGGGGCTGAGGGCCTTCTCTGAGGCCCGAGGGCCACTAGTCAGGGCTCACTCTGAGGCCTGAGGGCCACCAGTCACAGCCCATGGGCTTTTCGAAGGCTCCTGACTCCAACCCAAATAAATCCCTTTCTTCCCATCAGAACTACCCTGGCTTCAGTGACTACATTTCAGTCCCACCCACCCATCTCCCTGTACTGGAATCTGTTTTAATTCGGTTAAACCTCCTTATAATGACTCTCTAGAGATAAAAGCCAAATCTGCCAAATTAGCCTTTTCGACTTCTTTCCTCAAATGTCAGAAGGCTCCCGGAGACCCCTCTGCACTCCTGCAATGCTGGGTTACAAGAAGAAACTTAGACCTGGGTGTAATGTGACTTGGTCACAGTCACACTCAAGTACTGCCAGGACTTAGAGCTATCAGCAGCTAAGGCTGCAGGATAGCTCACTGGGGATCATGCTCTGTAGAAACAGAGGGCATTTCTATGATTTAATTCTGTGATCTGTGAGGTCAGTACAATAATAAGACCTTATAGATGAGGGAAACTGAGGCTTTTAACCACCTGTTAAGTGCGAGAAGACAGGTCACTTCAACAATGACCAACCAGCTCGGGTTCAAGGGCAGAACAGAGAGACCCGGAAGGATTACAGGCCTGATGGGTCTGCACTGGGAAGAGCTCTGAAGAGGGGGTGTGGGGTGGAGGGACAGCCTCAGTCTGAGGGATTCTCAGGCTGTCTCAGGGCTCTAGAAACTGTCCTCTCTAGAAAGCAAACACCCAGGAGGGGCAAGCAAGCTGTGCAACATGGCTGACTGGGCCAAACCTCGGGAGGCATAGAAAGGAAGCTGCCCAGGAGAGGGGCTAGGCCACAGCAGTTGGAGTCTGCCTTTAAGAGGCGGGGTCATAAATCAAGACATGGCATCTGTTCTCATAACTTACAAGGATGTTTTCTATATCGTTCTCATCACTACAGTAGATCAGACAACTTCATAGATCTATTAATGATACAAAATCAGTTGGGTGTGGTAGCTCATGCCTGTAATTCTAGCACTTTGGGAGGCTGAGGCAGAAGCACTGCTTGAGCCCAGGAGTCCAATAGACTAGCAAGACCCCCATTTCTACACAAACAAAAATTTAAAATGTATCCAGGCATGGCAGCGTGTGCTTGTAGTCTTAGCTGCAGTGGAGGCTGAAGCATGATGATCAGCCTGGGTGGAAGAGACCCTGACTCTAAAAAAATAAAAGCAGTGCAAAACCCAAGAGTAAATAACCAGTTCTGGAAACCAGCACCTTAAACTCCAAGTCTAGCTATTTAGATATGCAACGAGAGAAGTCAGAGGAAGCATGGCTGCCACCTGGTGGGGCCAGGACAGAGGACAAGGCTGGATGGAAAGTTCTGTAGTCAAAGAACCGTGGGTCTCCTTTGGAGGCAGGCTGGTCCCATGGGCCCGGTGGTCCAGCTCACCACACTCACCGTCTTCACTCTCCAGTCCCAGCCTTTCTCACCACTGAAAAAAACTGGACTCAAAGCTATGGTTTATACAATTCAAGATTTATGTCAGTTTAGGTTACTTCAGTTAACTTCCTTTTAAATTGTACAATTGTACAAGCCAGCCGAAGAAAGAATCAAACACACCACTGCAAGCTTAATCCAATGAGTTACTTTTTTTTTTTAAACAAATTTATACAGCCAAAAAACCCCCAAATCACAGTCTATACCATACAGTCACCCCATTCAGTATGTTGGAAGCCATGGGAGCCCCCGGCAAGAGGAGAAATAACTTCTACTTACAGATGACAAGTAGTGTGGAAAATCTCGAGTTCCCTTTGTTCTCCAGTGTATCTTGTACAAAATATTACATTCTTTTAAACATATATTTACAGAGTTTGCACAAGTAAAAAATTCTTACAAATTGCAACCAGGCTTGGTAGGATAACAGTTCCCCTCCCCAGGGACCAAGGTCAGGTGTGATATCACATCATATTTACATTTGCATTTTTAAAAGTCCCTGTTTCTAGAGACCTAGATGAAGTTTATAAAAACAGGTCAGATGTCAGCAATTCATTTATGTAAGCTGTACAAGTAGTTGATATCAATGTCAGTTCATGTCTTGCTCCCTGAAGAAAGATTTTGAAGTTGAAATAACCCTCTCAAGCAACACATATCTTGGCCTGCCTGCTACCAATTGTTCGGCTTTTGGTGGGGGAGGAGGTGGGAAGGAACTAGAAGAGGGGAGTGACAGAGGAGGATAGGATAATCTGGTTGAGACATTTTTTTTCAATAAATTTTTTCTTGCTATGTTGACCAGGCTGTTCTCAAACTCCTGGTCTCAAGTGATCCTCCCGCCTCGGTCTCCCTAAGTGTTGGGATTACGGGCGTGAGCCACCATGCCCAGCCTTCCTTTTTTTAACAGCTTAGAACACCAAGTTAAGCCAACTGGCTTGTTAAACACTATCCTATGGCTTTGAAACAAACCCATAGTTCTGACCTTTTTTTCCTCAGAGACAAAACATCTTCTCAATAGGACTACAGTATGAGAATAAAAGGACTTCTGGAGAGGACAATGTTGTTATTCTGATGTTAAATCTTTGCCTTGAGTGCCAAGCCCAATTTCAACAGTGCAAAACAGACTCCAGAAGCAGCTGGGGTGCAGGGGTCGGGGGATGTCAGGGGTCAAAGGGCTGCGTAGTAGCTGTCTATCCACTGAGCAAGGCCTCGCTCCACCAGGGACCGGTTTATCAACACCATCTAGAAAAGAAAGTTTCCTTGAGAGCTTTGCCCATGGCCCCTTGAGGCCATCTCCCAAGGCAATACAGGTCCTCCCTCCCAGGTGGCTGCCACTGGAATAACCACGCAGGGGTATGACTTATTTTTCTAGCCAACGGGGGCATTTACAAAGTGGTGTTCTGTTGGCCACTTTGACATGAGGATGGACTTTTTGATAATGCTGAAGAAAATCTAAGCATTACCAAAAAATGGAGGATAAAAAACCGAATGGACAGAAGGCCCTTGGACAGGGCTTCTCCACCTTTTTGGGCTAGATAATTCTTGTTGTGGGGGGCTGTCCTGAGCACTGCAGGATATGAAGCAGCATCCCTGGCCTCTACCGGCTGGATGATACTAACATCACCATCCCCTATAGAGCATCCTACAAGCCCCCAGGGAGCATTGGTCTATAGTTATTTCCTCTTGAGCTAATCAGAGGATATAATCCCAGAACCAGTTCCACATTCATCCATTACTGCTGGCAGCAGCTGAGAGGGAAAGAAGGGCAGAACTTACTTCATCGCCAACCACACTCCACAGGTGAATCAGAGGAAGACCAGTTGCACTGTAATTTGTCACCTGAAGAGGAAGGGAAAAGCATGTTTCAAAGCTACTCTGCATGGCTCTCCTTAAAACCTGCTGGTCAGCTGGGCTCGGTGGCTCAGCCTGCAATCCCGCACCTTGGGAGGCTGAGGTGAGTGGATTGCCTGAGCCTGTGGGTTAGAGACCCACCTGGGCAACTTGGCGAGACCTCATCTCTACAATAAATCAGAAACTAGCCGGGCATGGTAGTGTGTGCCTGTAGTTCCAGCTACTTGGAAGACTGAGGTGGAAGGATTGCCAGAGCCCAGTAGGTCGAGGCTGCTGTGGCCGGGAGTGGCCACTGCACTCCAGTCTGGGTGACAGAGTGAGACTCCAACTCAAAAAAAAAAAAAAAACCTGCTGGTCAAGTCAGGACCTGAGCCACAGGAAGAATGGCATTTAAAGGTCAGTTCCCAAGATGCCCAGATAATTAAGGGAGGCCGAGGCTCCTGAAACAGACCCTGGCCAGTCTGATACCCTCCCCCACCAAGTGCACACCTGAGCAAGCAGTGCTGTATTCCCTGTCATCTCGCTCATGGCGGCATCTGCTTCAGGTGAAAAGTGGTCACCATCTTGAGAAGAAGAAGAAAAACAGCATTTAGACTCTCATTGCAGCAAGGCATCCTTGTCGCTTACGCAATGTTCAGGTATCTTCCACGCTTTGGATGTTGCATGGGACTCAGGCAGTGCACGGGGGAGACCCACCTACATCAGGGACAAAGCCTAGGCCTCCGCATGACACCGAGCGGATAAACTCAGGGTCTCTGCTGCATGCTGCCCACTGGAGGACAAAGAACAAAGGGACAAAAGCTCTGCCTTCATGGGAAGTATCACCGCCACCACCGCCTATCTGGATGTCCACTGTGATGGGAACGTGCCATGTGTTTTTCCACTACATACGTAACACCAAGTGCTATCCCCACTTTACAAGTGAGAACACTGAGGCAAGGGTTCATTGCCAAAGTCAACCAACTCCCCAAGCGATTAGGGTAGAAGTCAAATCAGGCAGTTGGCTGCACAGCCTTCTGGGATCAGTCACTCACAGAGGGCAAGGTGCTGCACCAGCATTTGGCTTTGCTGGATTATAAAAATTACACAGAACATGCCCAAGACGAGGGTGGTAGATAAGGATGGGAAAGGCAGAGGTAATGAAGGCCTGGAAAAATCTTATGAAGGAGGCAGCATTTCAGCTGGGTGTAGACAGAAGTGAACAGGAAGGACGGACAGAGCAATAAAGAAACAGAAAGACCTTGCCCATATTCCCTCCAATATGACACCAGCCAAACTGTCATGTTTCTAGCACATTTAATCACTTTAGACAGGGACAAGACCAGAGGGACAAACGTGGCAGGGGGGTGGAATGAACAGACTAGCATCTACAAATATAAAATTCCTAGCCAGAAGTAGTCACTGTGGCCCCACCTCTATACAACAGTTCCTGGCTTATGTAATTCTCAAAGCCACCCTGAGAAACAAGCACCATCCCATTTTCTGGAGGGGAAAATCAAGGCTAGTAATTTGCCCAAGATCACACTGCCAGTCCCCCTCCCTCTGGCAATGCTTTCACAGTCTAAGACACCAGACAGGGTGAGGGCTAGCATGGTCCCCACTGTGCCCCTAAGGAGCTATGGACCAGCTGAGCAGTACCATCAACCTCAGTGCCTGCCCTCAACCATGGGGCCCAAGACCCTGGGGCCTGGGCTGCATTCTGGAAGGTACCTTTGTCGGAAGCCTCTCCATGTCAAAGGCCCAAGTATAGTCTAGAGCTGTGGCCCTCAAAGTCTGGTCCCCAGATCAGCAGCACTGGCCCTCCCTAGGAACTTGGTATAAATACAAGTTCCAGCAGGCCAGGTGCAGTGTCTCAGGTCTGTAATCCCAGCAATTTGGGAGGCAGAGGCAAGAGGACTGCCTGAGTCCAGGGATTCGAGACCTACCTGGGCAACTTGGCGAGCCCTCATCTCTATAATAAATTAAAAAATTAGGCTGGGTTCAGTGGCTCAGCCTGTAATCCTAGAACTTTGGGAGGCCAAGGCAAGTAGATTGCCTGAGTCAGCGGGTTCGAGACCAGCCCGGGCAACTTGGCGAGACCTCGTCTCTACAATAAAAATAAAAAACGAAGCCGGGCTCAGTGGCTCAGCCTGTAATCCCAGCACTTTGGGAAGCTGAGGTGAGTGGATTGCCTGAGCCCACGGGTTTAAGACCCGCCTGGGCAACTTGGCAAGACCTCATCTCTACAATAAAATCAAAAAAATTAGCTGGGCGTGGTAGCACACGCCTATAGTTCCAGCTACTTGGAAGGCTGAGGCGGAAGGATCGCCAGAGCCCAGTAGGTCGAGGCTGCAGGGGCTGGAAGCGTGCCACTGCACTCCAGTCTGGGCGACGGAGTGAGACTCCAACTAAAAAATATTAATTAATTAAATAAAATAAAATAAAAAATGAGTTGGGCATGGCAGCATGTGTCTGTAGTTCCAGCTACTCGGAAGGCTGAGGCGGAAGGATCACCGGAGCACAGCAGACTGATGCTGGGGTGGCTGTGAGTATGCCACTGCACTCCAGCCTGGGTGACAGAGTGAGACTCCAACTCAATCAATCAATCAATCAATTAGCCAGGCATGGTGGCATGTGCCTGTAGTTCCAGCTACTTGAAAGGTTGAGATGGAAAGATCACCTGAGCCCAGTAGGTCAAGGCTGCAGTGGTTATGAGTGTGCCACTGCACTCCAGCCTGGGCAACAGAGTGAGACTCCAACTAAAAAAAAAAACCCAAAAACAAAAAAATAAGAAATCCAAGTTGCTGCACCTCCACCCAGATCTACTCAATCGACCCCTGTGAGTGGCAACAGCATGTCTGCGCCAGCCCTCCAGGGGGAACGAGGGCTCTGGGAGACGGCCTCCTCTCCATAACTGCCCCTCTCCAAGTCAGAGGCCCCAGTGGTTACCTGACAAGGGAACCACTCCGTCCAGAAGAACCTCTGCTCCCTGGAACGGCAGGGAGACAAAGTCTGACCTAGAAAGACAAGAAAGGAATAAGTCACTATGGTCGTGAAGGCTGTATCCGCTCAAGCCCACATCTGCCTTTTGCACAGTGACACCCGCAACCTAGGATGCAGCAGAGCTGATGGTACACGTGAGCAGCAGGCCTCAGCTCATGGCACACCTGGACAGAGGCTGCCCTGCTGCTAGTCTGACCTCAGAGGGACTTCCACATTAAATTCCCAAAGAGACGCCCGCTTCTCTCTTGACGATGACATTGGGGTTCTTCCACAAGACAGGCCTCCTAGCTCAGCTTGGCTGAGGCCAGTCATGGAGTGTATTTCTATCACACCATGCCAAGACAAAGCAGGCAGCAGGAGGGAAGAACAAACCCACACCGCAGGCTCAACACAACAGAGTCCACTATGCAGGCCACACGTTCCCAGCAGGCAGGCATGGGCCTCCGCTCACCTGATCTGTCGGAGCACATCGACTTTCACCCTCTTATAGCCACCGTAATCCACGTAGCGGATCTCCACCTCATTGGTCTCCTGATAGGAAGCGACCACCTGGGCTCGCCACCAGGCCCCATCTGCACCAGGGGCAGCGCAGATGACCGTTACTGCAGGGCAGGAAGAGGAGTGTGTGAATGCCTGGCCACAGCCAGGGCACAATGGCCACCCTGGTCACTGCTACCCACCTCCCCACCTTACTTCTCAGAGAACTGCACCTCCATGGCTCAGGGGACAGGGACAGCAGCAGGTCCCTCAAGCATCCCCCAGTCCAAGACTAACAGAAGGAAGAACCTGGAATGTGAGAAATTCAGATAGCAGGTGTCCTGCCCCAAAGCCATCCCGACCAAAAAGCATTCACTCAGCCGGGCTCGGTGGCTCAGCCTGTAATCCCGCGCCTTTGGGAGGCTGAGGTGAGTGGACTGCCTGAGCTCGCGGGTTCGAGACCCACCTGGGCAACTTGGCGAGACCTCATCTCTATAAGCAATCAAAATTACCCGGGTGTGGTAGTGCACGCCTGTAATTCCAGCTACCTGGAAGACTGAGGCGGAAGGATTGCCGGAGCCCAGCGGGTCGAGGCTGCAGTGGCCGGGAGCGGCCACTGCACTCCAGTCTGGGTGACAGACTCCAACTCAAAAAAAAAAAAAAGCATTCACTCTAGAGCCACGACTCTGAAACCTGTTGGGGCCTGCAATGGACACAGATTCACTAGAATAAACCAAGTAAAGTACAACTCAGGGAGTGGGGACCAGGGCTTGCCCTACATGTTTGAGGACAAGTCCCTGAAGGAATCAAGAACCTCCAAGAGCAGGAGATCCTGTGACCTGGAATCCAGCCCATGACAATGCATATCGAGGGCTTGGCCACAGGTAGGCTAAAGCCCACCTCTTCCAGCCTTTGTCTCAGGAAGGTGTTGAGAACACCTGGGTGGCCACCAATGCTCCAAGGGGTCACCAACCTCCACCCTGGGGCAGGAGCAGATGAAACTATAAGGAAAAGGCCCTAGCAGCTGCCCAGGCCAGTTGGGATGAGGGACTGTGATATACGGCTGACTAACACTGGGTGCTGACCCTTAAAGAGAACCTCTTAAACTTAGGGGTTCAGTCTTTACTGCTGGGTTAAGATAACTTTAGAGAATCGGATAGACTAAGTCCTTATTCTTACAAAAAGAGAAAAAAATATATACATAAAATGCTCCAGATAACATCAAAGGTTTTTCTGATACCTCAGAGCTCATCAGAGAATCCCAGGTTAGAGGCCCGGTTAAGGGCGAGTAGAGAGGTGTCCCGACATTGGATCCCCACTGCAAAGGGCAACAAAGAATGACAAAGGACGGGCCCAGACCCCAGCTCCTGCTCAGTGTCACTCAGCTCCTGCAAGTCACTTGATTTCCGAGGCTCGGTTTTCTCAGCTGTTATGTGGAGATGACCCAACCCACTGCACAAGCTGGTTGGGCTTAGGGAATGTTTATGGTAACTAGTGCTTACATCAAGTGCTTTTATGAATAAACATACAGCACCCAACCTCAATTCCTGGCACAAGTCGGTATCACCCCATTTAACACATAGTAAGTGGCAGAGCTGGGATCAGAATCCCTGGGTCAAACTCTACTCCAATTCCATTTTCTTTCAGCCAATAGAAACACTAGCTTTGCCCAGCCAGGAAACTCAACCCAGCCCAACCTCACAACAATGGCAAGAACTCAGGGGTGCTGATCCCACAAAGGATCCCAAAACAGCCTCCTCCAAGAGCAGAACAAGCAGCCCCCAGGGCTTCCCCTCCCTGGCCTGACCGGAGCCCAGCAATCCTCCCCTGGACCCCTCAAGATAGCACTTACTTTCCACTGGGGTGGGCAAGGTGGGGGTTCCAGGCTGAGAGTAGCAGAGGTACATCTGCTGGTCGAGGCTGCGCAGTGCGTGGAAGGTAGGATGCGTGTGCTGCTGCACAAACAGGTGCCCAGCGTTGACCTGGTTGACCACGATCACCTCCACGGTGACACCATCAGGTAGCATGAGCTGCAGAGGGGAAGGAGCAGTGGTCACTGTAACTATCCATCTTCTTTTCATGTTTAGGATAAGTACTGAGGCCCAGGGCAAGTTTCTGAACTGGCACATCTTTGAAAAAGGTACAGCAGGCTGGGTACAGTGGCTCACGCCTATAATCCCAGCAATTGGGGATGCAGAGGTGAAAGGATTGCCTGAGCTCAGGAGTTTGAGACCATCCTGAGCAATATGGCAAGACTTTGCCTCTACAATTAAAAAAAAAAAAAAAAAATCAGCCAGGCATGGTGCGCATGCCTGTAGTTCCAGCTACCTGGAAGGCTGAGGCAGAAGGATAGCCTTAGCCCAGGAGGTCGAGGCTGCAGTGGCCATGAGCATGCCACTGCACTCCAGTCTAGGCAACACAGTGAAACTCCAACTCAAACAAAAAGAAAAAAAGACAGAGCAACCCAAGACAATATGGCACCCAGATGGCAGAAGTTCAAGAACTACTTTAACAATAGAAAGTGTTTAGTGGGCGTGGTGGCTAACACCTGTAGTTCCAGCACTTTGGGAGATGGAGGCGAGAAGATTGCCTAAGCTCAGGGGTTCAAGACCAGCCTGCGCAACATGGCAAGACTTCATCTCTACAATAGATCCAGAAAAAGAAAAAAAAAAATCAGCCAGGCATGGTAGCACATGCCTGTGGTTCCAGCTATCTGGAAGACTGAGGTGGAAGGATCGCCTGAGCCCAGCAGGTTGAGGCTGCGGTGGCTGTAAGCATGACATGGTTCTCCAGCCTGGGCAACAAAGTGAGATGCCAACTCAAAAAAACAAAACAAAACAAAACAAAACAAAACAAAAAACAGGGGAGCTGTTGTCCTGCAATACCAGGAGCAGCCATTAGGGGCAGCCTCGCCTCAGGGTCAGGCAGGGAGGCTCCCATAGGTAGAAGCACCAGGAGCAACTATGGAGTAGGGCTGGGCCTCACGCAGGCCTGGGCATGGTCCACCCATCAGCGCTGCCCTCCCTCCCACCTCTCCTGTAAGTCTGTAAGACCCAGGGAGGGCAAACCTAGGAACGGGGTGGCCACTAAGAACAAGGCATCCAAGAGGAAGCAGTGGGCAGGCCCACAGGCCCTCCCCCACCACCTCTGGTGACCTACAGCTGACCCCAGGGGCTTTGGCCTGACAGTATCTATCTACACTGCCCTCTCAATAGCAAGCAGCAGCCTCAAGTCAGGTTCGCAGTCAAGGTCTACCAGAGTCTGCGTCCTATTTGCTCTTCCCACTACTGCTTCCACCCCATCCCCCCAAGTCCTGCTCCTCTTCTCAAGCCTCCATAGACAACCCTCAACTCGTTCCACTTAGAGATCCAGAATGCAGGTTTGCCTAGGGGCCAGGCCCCATATTAAAGGCTCCAGAAAAGGCTACCAATGTTCTCTAAAAGGCCTGTCCCTGGACACTGGTTTTCCTAACATCAAGCTACAGGCTACACCTAGGGGCTCTGGACAGCCAGGCATCTACCCTACCTTCCAGCTGGTTTGTCATAAGGGAAAGAGCCTCTGACTGAGAGTTCTGACCCCATCTCCACCCCAATACTGAGGGTTCAGAGGTGTCAGGGATCAGCTTTCCAGCCCCAGTGAGCCAGGTGGAGTACAAGGGAAGAAAACCATCTGTACAGACCACTTAATTATTCAAAAAGAGAGTGAGTCTAGGGCCAAGCCTCCTGGGAAAAACACCCTGTGACTCAGGTATCAAGTGTCCAATGGGGTCCAATCCACTCCCAAATACCCACAGAAAAGGGAAGAGACATCCCATTCCTTCCCCAGCAGCACAGGGGTCTTTGGAAAGGAGAAGCTGTGGAACTGAGATGCCTTCATCCTACAAGACCCAGGAGGGTGATTTCTGTGGAGCAGCACATCTGGCCCATCTGTGTGAAATGCAGTCAACAGTCTTGGGCCAACAGAGCTCTGTGATTCTACTCCCAGTGAGATATGGCCCAGCCAGGGCTGGGGCACCCTACAGGACATGAGTGACAGGCCCCAAGAGACCCTGTAGCTACCAGCACCACAGGGACCTTCAAGATGTCAGCTCTTCCTTCTGCCAGACTCCTGGGGCAACCTCTCAAGAGCCACCTGGCTCCCTGGCCTGGTGGGGAGCATTTGTTCTTTATCATCTTGGCACCTCCTGGGAGGGAGAGGGTAGGGGATCCTCCACCAGGGCCACTGCTCGGCCCAGCTCAACCAGAAGAACAAGCCCCATCCAAAGTCATGATTCTGAGTCCCGCCCAGGCTTCAGGAATAGAAATAGTGAACCTCGGCACAGCACCAGCTTTAAGGAGCCCCACACTGGTCTAAACACGCCCAGTCTCCTGGCTGAACTATAATCCTTTCTATGCAAATGCCTAGAAAATATGAAAGGTGCCCAGGTGGCACAGTCAGGGAAAGTGGTACTCACACATGGGGACCCAGTGGACTCTGGTTTCTGCCAGAATATTATCCCCTTCTCCTCATCCCCACAACATAGGCCAGTAACAGAACTGACCAGTGGAGGTCTGAGGAGTTTCTTTTGGGGTTAGGCCTGAGAGGAAGGACATCCGGAACACGCTCACCCAGGACGTCACTGGCAGAGAAGGCAGCGCCAGCGGAGGCAGAGGGGGTGCGTAGATATTGGTGAGGTTCAGCTCCTTGAACTTCTTCCCAATCAAGTTCAGTGCTTTGTCTACATGATGCTGAGAGCCTAAATGGGGGTAGGGCAGGACACACAAGTATCGCGGGTAAAAGTCACAGCAAAAACAAACTCAGTCACACAACCATTTCACAGGACTTTACCTAGAGTTCAAGTGCATCAAGGTCTCAAAACACTAAACTCTGCTCTAGGAAGAAAGACACCTAAATCCATTCACCTTTCAAATGATGCCTCCGTCATTCTGACCTGTGCATTGAGGGCAACAGGGGGCAGGCGGGTGGGGGAAAGTCAGAGGGGAGCCCACGAAGGGCACTTGCGCTCTGCGAGGGAGCCAGTGTGTAGCAGTGGGGGCTATGGATCCAGGACCCCTGGCTCTGCCCAGCTGAGCACACACACCTCTCAGGGCCAGAGACCTGGTGGGGAGGGACCTGAGACCCCTTTGTGCACCTGGACTTGGGGCAAAAGCTGCAGGACAGACTCCCTGGGCCAGCCAGGGGGACTCAGGGGCTTCGGTTCACTCACACTTCAGGCTAACACAGATAGCTGCCACTAACCTTCTATGTGGCAGATCTGAATGTTCTGGGTATAAGGCAGGGTTGAGATGTAGATCTTGGCACCAGACGTTTGCTTAAGAAAACTCACATACCGTCCCTGCTTGCCAATTAGCCGACCGACTAAGTGCTTCCAGAGGGGCGGGAAAAAAAAAGAGAGAGAGAGAGATGAGAGAGTTAACAGAAAGCCAATTCCCTACACTCCCAAAGACCTAATTTTGTTTTACACAAGGTCAAGCTCAAACATATTTAGCTGTTAACATGTCAGCAATTATTTGCCAGGACTATTCTAAGCACTTACATTTACTCATAGTACCTGTGAAATAGATCACTTTATCACCATTCTACAGATGGGGAAACAAGCCCGGAGAGGCTGAGGAACTCACCTAAGGTCACACAGCTGCTAAGCAGCTAAACCAAGCAGTCTGGCTCCAAGGCCCAGTCAACAATGCAGGCTGGACCCAGAAAGCTGCAAATGTAGTGTCTTCGCCAAAACCCACAACATGAGACGTTTTACCAGCAGAAGGGTTGACCATGATTCCTTGTACCCCTCTCCTTCAAGTCTACTCAGATCCAAAGATAAAGAGGCTCCATTTGAAAATAAAAGTCTAAGAACCCTGAGCCTCCTGCTGCCAAGTGACAACCCTAGAGACTGCAGAGCACAAGGCATGCACAAGTGCCCAGTGCGCCAGAGTTCAAGGCGACAGAAGCAGCCAAACAGCCTTTATGTAAGGAAAGCTCCCCCACAATCCCAAACTACCTCACCCCAGCACAGCTACTAGGGATATAGTCCCTCCTCAGCCAGCATCTGCCTGGCTGTGCCCTTTGTCACCACTGAAGGAAAAGGGGGCAGGGCGGTTATCAGGGTCCGCTGGGGAGGAAGCCACCAAGGGGAGCCAGCAACCCAGGGTCAAAAGAGCCACTCTGACCCAGAGTTCAGACCAAGCCTAGTCATTGCCTTGGCAGGGGAGCGATGGGCCCTGGGAGATTGTGGCTTGACAATGATTCCTGAGCCCCAGAGATCAACATAAAGATCAAGCTATTATGTTGTAAGTTGCAACAGCAAGAAATCGCTTCAGAAGCTAGAAATCACTTAAGTACTCTGGAATTGGGGGCTGATGAAGTAAACTGCCATTTGCACAATGAATAATGCAGTTAAAATTATGTTTTCAAAGAATAACATGAGGAAAATTAAATTGTTTAAATATTTAAGTATCAATTAAAGCAACATCATCTCAGTTTTGTTTAAAAACCACGGGGTGAGCCGGGCTCGGTGGCTCAGCCTGTCAGCCTGTAATCCCGTGCCTTTGGGAGGCTGAGGTGAGTGGATTGCCTGAGCCCGCGGGTTCGAGACCCGCCTGGGCAACTTGGCGAGACCTCATCTCTACAATAAATCAAAAATTAGCCGGGCGTGGTAGCGTGCGCCTGTAGTTCCAGCTACTTGGAAGGCTGAGGTGGAAGGATCGCCGGAGCCCAGCAGGTCGAGGCTGCGACAGAGTGAGACTCCAACTCAAAACAAACAAACAAACAAAAAAACCCACAGGGTGCAAGAAGCAAAGGAAATAAAAGCCTTTCACAGCCCCTCTCAGGGGCAGGATTAGAGCTGGTTTTTATTTTCTTCCTACATTTCTATACTTTTCAAGTTCTCTAAGATAAGGATTTATGGCCAGGTGCAGTGGCTCAAGCCTGTAATCCCAACACTTTGGGAGGCAGAGGTAGGAGGATTGCCTGAGCTCAGGGGTTTGAGACCAACCAGAGCAACATGGTAAGATATTGTCTCTACAATAAATTAAAAAATCAGCTGGGCATGGTGGTTCCAGTTACTCGGAAGGTTGAGGCAGAAGGATCACTTGAGCGCAGAGGGATCACCACCTGAGCCCAGCAGATCGAGGCTGCAGTGGCCGTGAGCGTGCTACTGCTCTCCGGCCTGGGCAACAGAGTGAGACTCCAACTCCAAAAGTAAAAAATAAAAAAGGATAGGTATTTATGTTTTGCTCAATTAAAAGGTGTTTGCGTTGCAGAACTTGAGCGAGAGGAACTCTGACTGTCCATGTCCTCAGTCTGTTTTCTTCCAAACAGATCCGAGCCCCAGGCTTGTGGCTTGAGGAGTGTGAGGGTAAAATGCTGCCAATAGCAGCTGGGGAAACTCACACTGCAGGAAGTGCTCAGAATCCTGGCCAGATGTGAAGTCTCATCCCTCCAGCCTTTGGCTGATAGGGCTCCTTCTGGCTCATGGTCCCTCCCTTGGCCCTCCTGGGTCTGATGGCCCTGGGAGCGAAATCAACCTGGGGAACACCAGCCTTACCTTTGGCACCTCAATCTCCCAGATGATGAGGTCGACCTTCTGAGTGTTGGCGCCTGCCTGGGCATTTTGGAAACTTTCTGTCGCTTTGAGGCCACTACAGCTGTCCGTTGAATCCACACTGTTCCTGTTGGGATCTGCAGGGGAGGAAGCAGCAAGTGCAATATACACAGACCCCAGCTCAAGGCGGTCAACAACCCAGATAGTCCCAAACTCACACTTCCAGAGGCCCCACCCCGCACTACCTTCTCAAGCTTGGCAGGTGACTGTCAACTCAGTCTAGAAGGCTCAGAATCACCCCAATGAAAGGAGGACTGGGGGTGTTGATACACCTAATTTTAGCCTGTCACTTACAGTTCCACTTGCTTAATTGGCAGCCACACCCAGCCACAGCTGCTGGAGCAGAGAAACAAGTGGTGAACTTGAAAGAAATAGACTGTGCCCAGGGAAGGGGGGGTTCACGGGGTGGGGAAGGGGCTGCGCTTGCATGTGCACTGGGCCCCAGAACTGGCTCCATCAGCCTCAGCCACCTAGACATCCTTCCAACATTCCCAGCCCCTCAGACAGGTTTCCAGTGCCCATGGTCCAGGTCTGGGGTCACAGATGGTGGCCTTTCACCAAGCAGAGCTGGGCCTGCAGAGGACCCCTTCTCAGTTATCAGGGCCCTGCTGGGTTCTCTGCCAGATGTGGACAAGGGAACGAGGCCTTCTTTACTCTGCTGAAGCTCAACTTGCCCAACTCTGAATACTATTCTGGGCTCAAATACTCCCCTTAGTCAGAAACTGGACTAAGCCTTGTTCCCAAAAGGACATGGGGGAGCAGGACTCTGGCCCTAACTCAGGCCACCCCACTCTTGCTCAAGAGCATGCCAGTGGGACCATCACAGAAAAGCAGGGGTCCAAACCAACTCAAGCGCAGTGGCTCCGGCTTCAATTTGGACAACCCAATCACCAGCAGATCACCCTGAGTCTATCATTTGGGTGACTGTCCACATGGTTTCTCCAAATCCTGGGCATAATACTTTGCCAAGCAATCCACATGCTGTCTGGATGCAAGGAACTAAGGCTTAAAGAGATTCCGCTCCCACCTAAGGAAGAGTTACCTTTAAAGTGGTCTCCTCCCTCAGTACCAAGGGTTCAGAATAGGCTTCACATAGGGAAACCGCCCTTCTGAGAAATGACAGCTAGGCTGGCCTGCTAGATGCAGAACAGGCTGACAAGGGTGGCAGGGTAGGGGGTCTCCGCTCATACTCAGCCCTTAGTCTCTGTCCCACAGAAAGGGACTGACCAATACCTCCACACTGACGGCACCCGGGAATAGCTGAGAACCACACCAGGACCCGACAGCTGTGTTAAAAGGCCAGCTTCCTGCTTCCTCTGGGGCCACCCCTGGACCCTTTCTCAGCATGAACGTCCACACGCACAGAGTGGGGCTGACATGAGGCATGAGCCTGGTGCTTGGCACCCACGGTGTTTACGGGTGGCATCAGCAGGCTGCACGCTGCCATCCCTAGGCCTCCCCACCTACCACCACGGCTCAGTCCTGAACCCAAACTCAGAAGCCAACACACCTGAGTAGCTACTGCAACCAATGTTAAAGTTGGTGTGGCAATGCAGGGGGGGTCTTGTTAATTAAGCTGAGGGGCAGCAGGCAGACGGACACTTCTTTATTCTTAAAAAAAAAAACTTCACCCGTTTCAAGATGCAATTTTGTTTATCTGTTTTGTTTTTTAGAGACAGGGTCTCACTCTGTTGCCCAGACAAGCATACAGTGGCACCATCATAGCTCACAGCAGCCTTAGTCTCCTGGGCTCAAGGGATCTTCCTGTCTCAGCCCCCGAGGACAATAGCTGGGGCTACAGGCGTGAACCACTATGCCCGGCTAATTTTTTAATTTCCTGTAGAGACAAGATCTCACTATGTTTCCCAGGCTGGTCTTGAACTCCTACCCTCAAGCGATCCTCCTGCTTCAGCCTCCGAAAGTGCTGGGATTATAGGTGTGAGCCATGATGCCCAGCCCACAATAAGTTAGTTAAACATTTTTACATCCCAGTGTTAGGATACATCTTGCAGTATCTGGCCTTCTATAATCATGATTGGATGACTGGCAATATTTTCTTTTCGAGGCACATAACCATAATGTCTTGTCTTAATCAATAGCATCTTGGAGGTGACAAAACATAGTGTGGCATAAACCAGATGCTGCTGAATATAACATTCCCAGTAAAGCGTCCCAACCTTCCTGGAGCTGAAATGGGAAGCAATGGGGCTCCAGGACAAATACGTCAGAGAGCCATGTGGGAAACTTGTGGCATCTCTTTGTGAGATAAATGAAAACACCCCAGGTGGCTGCAAAGGCAGGGTCAGGAGCTGCTGACCTGTAAGCTAGTGGTCTACGCTGGGGTCAGCACTCGAAAAACTCAGGACACTTCATTACCAAAGTGCCCCTCTTTCCCAGGGGTGGAACTGCAGCTGCCCAGAAACAAAGTGGCTGAGGCTCTCTCGAAGGTGACAGCAACAACTCAGGAAGCTCGAGCCTCCCGAGTATTCAAAGCTGTGGCCATTCTTTGGGCACTTACCCTGTAAGAGCTTCTGGAGAAGGAAAGCGGGTGAAGACACGGGAACAAGCACATGATTAAAAGGAGATAAAAGGAGATAAACTCACACCCACGCTGGGCACTCAAGGGAAACAAAGTTAAGGAAGCCTTTCCATTAAAACACACACATACACACACACACAACCACCACCACCACCACCACCACCACCACCACCATCATCATCACAAGGTTCAGGTTTTAAAAGGAGAATCAGGCACACTGAGGTTACTAGGTGAACCTGACTTTGAGCTAATTCCCATGGGAGGGCTGGATAGGCCACTGGCTGACAGCTCCCATGGCTTTGGGGCTTCAGGCCAGCCAACTCCTTGGTCACCCACCAGTCGTGCACCATGCCCAGCTCTCTGCGGGCAGCTGGGACACAGAGCTGAAGAGCACCATGGCTCTGTAGAAGGGAGAGGTGGACCAGCAGCCCTTCCTGACGAATAAGGGGAGCACTCCAGTCCTCTAAATGCATGCCCGACACCCTCCTACCTCCCGAGTGATTTGCTTCCACCTCTGCGGTCCATCCATTCTCAGTCCCCAAGTCTGACAACGCCCTCTTCAGCACCCCATTGCTGAACGGCACAGTACTTTCTGGCAGCAGCGGGGAGATGGCCTTGTCCCTGGGGCTCGAGCTGGTCTCTGTGCAAGAGTCTCCAATCCCCGAAGTGCTAGGGGAATCTGAGCAGTATCCTGAGGAGCCCACTGAAGGGACACCTTGGCTGCTGTCCGACATGCAGGTGGCACAGGCGGTGTCTCCCACCAGGATGCTTGCCCCCTCCAGCGGCTCTCCAAGGGGAGTGGCCGGTGGCAGGCAGGGGGCCAGGGAGATGGGGTGTGCAGAGTTCTTTGGCTTACTGTCCTTGGTGGGGCTGGACAGGGGGCTGCTCAGGCAGCTCACGTAGGTCTTTGGTAGGGGCAGGTCCTCTGCTGGCAGACCTGCCAAGGGAAGGGTGGCGTCTGTTGGGCCGGTGGCTCCCTCTGTGGTGACTGGGGCAGGCTTCGCAGCATCCCGGCCCTGGTCACTTTTCTGGCTGACTGGGATGTCGTTCTCCTTCTGTCCCTGGAGCTGACCAGCCGAGGCCTGATATATCCGGCCTGCGATCTTGCCCACTGTGGTGGCCAGCACCTCTTCAGTTGCTTCCAAGATTACTTGGGAGATTATCTGGAAGGCGGCCTGCTCAATCTTCTCATCTCTATCCAAGCTCTCCTCTTTGCACGCTTCTCCCACAAGGTCTCTGTCCTGGACTTTGCTACCTCTGACCCGGGGCGCCGAGGTCTCCTCAGCCTGAGTCAGCTCGGAGTGGGCCGACTCAACGAAGCTGCTTGGCGACTTCCAGACTGTGTACTCTTCTTTCTGCTCGGGCCCGGTCACCGGGGGTGGGCTGTTCCTCCCCTCCTCACCCCCTCCTCCCACGGGGGCCACACCGGGGGTCCTGCTGCCCTCCAGTGCCGAGACTTGCTCCTGGGGTGACAGCCCTTCATGCCCATTTTCTCCCAACATGGCGTCGCCGGTCCCTTCGGCACCACCCGTCTCTTGCACCCTGTCTCCAGGGCCATGCTTCTCCACAGGGGCCGCAGACTGGCCTGGGTGGCCTCTCCCTGGTGTCCTGCTGAGTGTCGACTCTTGCTTACACACCTCCACTGCTTCATGTGGGAATGGTACACCCTTTGGGGATGGAAGGGGACACTCTAAAGGAATAGGCCTGACTTCGTCCCCCACCGGGGCTAGTTCCAGCTTTGTGCTGTCATGTCTCCAAGATCCGGGTTGAGCCCATGGGTCAGTGGTGTTGGGAAGGCTGCCTGACGACTCTGATCTTCGACGGGCAGCATGTGTGCGCAGTAAGGCTGTGGGCTCTGCAGACGGCTTGCTGGAGGTGGACACCTCCTCCTCTGGCAGCTGTGTGATGCCAGGAGGTGTGGACACCACTCTGGTGCAGACATCTTCCATGGGGAGGGGTTCCTTGATGGCAGGGTCGGCCCTCAGCTCCACAGCACTGGCCTCCACCTGCTCACTGTGGCTACCGGCGTGGCCTTTTTTACGAGAGAAAAACCACCACCAACCAAGCGCCAGCATCCCAGGCAATGCCAGGGGGAAGAGCGAGCGGAACTGGATGGCCATCTTGGAGGTCTGGAGCAGTTACACCTGGGGAGAGCAGCAGAGGTGGAGAAGGGATGTTATGAGAGCCTGGGAAGAGGATTCTGATGGCTGACAAGCTGTCTGCCCTCCCTTTCCCTGCCCCCTCTTGGACTTGCACCCACTCCCGCCCTATGGATGATTCCTGCAGGTGAGCAGCCAGGAGGATACCTCCCACTCCCTGGCTTCCACACACTCCCTGGAAAAACCGAGCATTCTATTCTTCAACCCAAACCCCTCCCTTCAGCACATCACGGTGCCAGAAGCTAGGATCCCCTTAAGTTAATAAGCTCATTGTGCTTCAGTTCACTAAATAACCCCCCAACCTTTTGATCCATTCAAAAGGCATCAGAGCATTTTAAAGACTCATGGAAGCCACAAGTAAACAGGTCCCCAAAGCTACTCTCAAAATCATGAGTCCATGAAATTGTAGTTTCTACGCAGCAATAGACCGGAGGAATGGCATTGCAAACAGATGGAAGATGCTCCTGGGCGAAGGACCCACAAAACAAAGGCACACGAAGAACCAAGTCCAACCCAAGTGGAAGGAGGGTCTATCGCTTGCAATGGGCACAACTTGCAACTAGTATGAAAGCAACTTGACTTTTATGCTGGTATGAAAGCTATACCCATTCAGCAGAAACCATGCTTAGAATTTTGGATTTTGATCCTTTTCTGATATAGTGATATGCAGCAGGACACAGTCTCACCATGCTGGGCAGCTACAGTCACACCATCACAAAGGTAAACCGCTCGGTGCGATGACTCATGCCTGTACTACCAGCACCTTGAGAGACAGGAGGGCAGATTGCTTGAGCCCAGGAGTTCGAGACCAGTCAGGGCAACATAGCAAAACCTCATCTAGATTTAAAAAAAGAAAGAGCTGGCCAAGCTCGGTGGCTCAGCCTGTAATCCCAGCACTTTGGGAGGCCAAGGTGAGTGGATTGCCTGAGCCTGTGGGTTCGAGACCTGCCTGGGCAACTTGGCGAGACCTCATCTCTACATAAAC